CACCTTTGGGACAACCATGACCTGGATGACTGGGAATCTCCATGGAGAGTCAGCTAAAGAATTCTGACTGGTGGGGTACAAGAAGAGAGCCCCCACCATTTGGAAGAGTTTTTCCCCTCCTCCAGAGGTGAGGCAGACCCCCACTCTCCTGAGCTTCTGGAAAGGTGTGAAAACATGGCTCTGGAACATGGATCAGGGCGCCTGAAGGATCAGGCTGGCTAGTGCCATGAAAGATCTCGTACCATGTCTTAAGTAACTTGTTCACTGATTTGCTCTGAACTTTCATCCCTGTCCTTAACATTTATATACTGTTTCTATGTTTTGATATTTTATCTGTACACCATCCAGGGTTCCTCTGTGAAGTAATGGGTGGTCTGAAAAGAAGCAAACACATTTTAAATTTCTGGGGCAGAAATCAAATGAATAAAAATCTTCTTCTTCTTCTTCTTCCAAGGTTGGAGTATCCTTGCTGCCTCTGTCCTTTGGGTGTCCTGGAGCCTCCCTAGGTAAATCAGACCAAGAAACCAACTGCACAAGAAGGCCAAAATTACTGCCACTGAGATTGGCTATTCAGTAATAGCAGGGTCTTTAAAGCCTCACTGTGCTCTCACTGCACACCCTCCCTCTGAATGCCTGCCTGTCATGGCACAGATGGATCCAAATTGTGGTCTGCTGGCAAGAGGATGTAACTGGGTTGATATAACTGGCCACCTTTCCCTGCTTGATTTGAACAGGAACCTTGGCAACCAAGGGGGGAGGACAGTGCTTCCCACCCCCAAGCCTTCCCTCCCCATCCCTCTGGCACCTGGAATATCAACAGTCCCATATAAGCTGTGAAAGTAGCAACTTCAGGAGGTTAATTGCACTGCCCAGTGTGGGACAGGAAAGACTACAGGCTGGTTGCCTTCTTCACTGGCAGTGGGAATCCTCACATTGTAAGTTGCAGCTCCCATCTCGGCAGGCCCCTTGCTCATAACTGGGTCAGTTGATTGATTTGCCACTTTCCAGGTCAGCTTCCAGTCCTGGCTGAATCCACCCTACTGACCAACCTTCTCCCATCCAGGAGGCAGGTTTGGGCTGGACACCTCTCAGAAGAGCCAGGGAGAGTCCTTGAAGCCCAGCCTGTAGCCATCTCACTTCTGAATCCCCAGATGTCTGCAAGTCCACCTCCTGCTTGGTTGGGGGGTTCCCCTCAACCTGCACTGAGATCAGAGGTGAGCTGAGGGATGCCAGGTTGGAGTCTCACCCATCTTTCTTCTCTACTCTTCATTGAACCTGGCCAATTTTGGGCTGGCCATGTCCTGCTGGCAAAGCCAGAAGACAGGTTTCACAAGAATGATGGGAACTCTACTTGGTCTACTTACTGAATCTTGGAAGCCTGATGGGACCTGCCCTCCTCCTCTCTTGGACCAGAACATTTAAGTTGGAATCCGTTTAAGCTCCTTTCCTCCTGCTTCAATAATATTTCCCTTCCCTCCCCAGTCCAACGTGTAGCTCCCATTACAGCATCTTTGAGAAATGGCTATCTGGTCATTCCCCTTCTGAAAAGTCTTTGTGGTTTGAGCTTATTTCCCCTGCATTAAGAGAGCCTTCACCTCTCGTGTTCTCAGCCAAGGAACTTCCAGACACTTTCTTCTCAGCCCCACCAAGTATTTGTTCTTCAGTTTGTAAATGAGTTAACAAACGTTAGAGTGGATGAAATGTAGTTTAGTCCAATGGCTTCTAGAAGTTCCTCTAGTGGTTCCCCCTTAAATTTAATTAGCTGAGTCCTGAATTAGAACTTTGTTTAATTTTTTTTATTTCAACAAGATATATAATTCCAAAAAGAATATTGTAGATTGACAGATAATTATTGAAGCTATACAATCAAGGCACAGTATAACAATAATAAGATAAGCAGAGTACACTGCATTCATTTCAACATTAAAAAAAGAATTATAATTTTTTCAACTTACTACCATAGCATCCCCTCTTTTATTATTTATAATTGTTACAAATAGAACAGGTAAAAAAAGAGAGAAGAAACAAGAAAAGAAAATCCACCCACCAAACCATATAGATAAATATAGAATTTCTGCCTTCCCATGGAATAATCTGCACCCAAAGATATTTATTTCCTCCTAGGGTGATCAAGCATGTATTTCAATCAGAGAATAATTAAAAGAAGCAAGCAAATACTGTAGGTAGTTCTTATATTTGAAGCATAATTTTTATGTTCTTCCCCCTGCTTTCATTTGGATGAAATGTTTGACTGCCTCTTTCAAAGGGGAGGTTGGAGCTATCTTGGATCTTTCCCTGGGACTCTGATCACTCAAGAAATTTTGCTAGAACATTTTGGGCGTCTTCCAAAGCATCATCAAGAAAGCTGTTCAGAAAACGATACGTGATAACATATGAACTTGCTCCACCAAACACAGACCCAATAACAGGTATAAAATCAAGAGCCAGTTCCACAACCGACACAGCTACCCAAGCAGATGACCTCATCAAGAGAGAAAATACCAATTCTGCATCGATCACATTGCCTAATGGGGTTTTCTTGATAGCTGACTTCAGCTCTTTAAATTCTTTTCCCGTCTGAGTTGCCAGAAAACGAAGGGACTGGTCGTCTAAGCCAAACACCTTGCAGAAATATTTCAGAGTATCTACCAAAATTACAATATCACAAGTCATAGAGAGTCCCGGGACAGGCACCGCTCCACAAATGCAAGATAACCAAGCTACCTTCTTTATATAGGATTCCATTAGCTCTTTTTTCTTCATCAATACCTTTTTTGAGAAAATATGCACAGCCAGTGTTAAAATATTCTTCTTGTGGTCAGGAAGTTCAGCGGCCATTGTCTCTTTCAGGAGAGGGAAATCATACATGTGCACCTCCCAGCTGGAGATCAGGAATACTCTTGCAGAGAAATCAGTTGCCCTTCTAAAAATGTTTTCCCAATAATTCCTTAGGGTCTCCAGGGTTTTCTCCATATTGAAATTTCCTTTCCTCTTTTCACCTTCTATAGTGGCATCTATTTTGGTACACACAAAGTAAAATTTATTTCTCATTCTTTGTATTTCCTTTGCCAGCAAAGCATCGTTTTCAGTGAAGTCAGTGGAGGTAACAATAATAAAGACATCATATTTTTCAAATTGGACCTTCTTTAGATATTCCATTGCCTGAAATTGAGGTGTTCCAATTCCTGGAAGATCCCATAATTTTATATTGGGAAAAGAGGGGTGAGGATATACCTCTGGCTTCCTGGTTTCTTCTACTGTCCCAACCTTGGCTGCCTCATGATCATCATCACTTACACCCCGGAAGGCATTGACAAAGGAGGATTTACCAGATCCTGAATGTCCAGTAATTGCGATATTAAGGGGGAGATTGTTCATTTTATTTAAATGTTCTTTGTATTCTGCTGCCACTTTAGGGATACTGCCTTCATCCAAATCTCTCTTTAAATCTTCAAAATCTCTCCTTACAATATCCTTTGTAATTGTATTGCCCATAGTTGCTCTTTGGATACTGCAGTGTATCTGGAAAAGAAAAGAGACATTTGGATATTTCTCATCTGTCTGGCACTTCGAACTTTATAATTGGAGAAGACCCCCGAGAATATTGTGGACAGTCAAGAAAGAATAACAGAGTTGGAAGGACATGGAGGTCTTCTAGTCCAGCCCCATGCACAAGCAGGAGATCCTATACCATTCCAGACAAATGGTTGTCCAATGTCTTCTTAGAAAGCTCCAGTGATGGAAGATCTACAATTTCTTGAGGCAAGCTGTTCCAATGATTAATTGTTCTCCCTGTCGTGAAATTTCTACTTAGTTCTAGGTTGGATCTCTGCTTGATTAGTTTCCATCTTTTATTTCTTGTTCCTGCCTTCAGGTGTTTTGGAGAAGACCTTAGCCCCCTCTTCTGTGTGACAACACCTCAAATATGGGAAGACTGCGGTCCTGTCACCCCTAGTTTTTTTTAATTGGGCTAGACATACCCAGTTCTAGCAACCGTTCATCATATGTTTTAACCTCCAGTCACTTAATCATCTTTGTTGGTCTTCTCTGCACTCTTTCTACAATCTCAACATCTTTTTTGTATGGTGGTGACCAAAACTGGATGCAGTATTTCAAGTGGGGTCTTACCAAAGTAGTATAAAACTATAGTAACACCTCACTTGATCTTGATACCATCCCTCTGCCGATGCAACCTAAGGACTGAATTGGCTTTTGGGGCATATGCAGCACACTGCTGGCTCATATTTAAGTGGTTGTCTATTAGGACTCCAGGATCTCTCTCACAGTTACTGCTGTTGAGCCAGGTGCCATCTACTCTACTGTATACCTGTGCATTTGGTTCCCCAGCCAGGCAAAGCCAATCCCTCCTCCTGACATCACTCAAAACCCGTGGGCTTTTTCTTTTGATGCATATTCTATTGTCTTCCTTTCTTATTAATAAAATCACTGCCTGGCACAAACATAACTCAATCCAGTTATTATCTACACCAAAGTCCAGCCTAAAAATCCAGTGTAAACCCAAAGAAGGCATCATTAAATGCAG